ACTTTTGCTGCAGCAACCCGCTACAATCATTTTCCTATGCTAAAGTACGTCATGGGAATGGCGGTCGCGTCGCTGGTCGGGTTGCCAGCCAAGATTATTTATTTTGGCTAAACCTACGCGCTCAGAATGGTCAGGGGTGGGTGCCTGGGAAATACGTGCATGGTAAAATTCATTTAAAAATGTTTATGCGAATGTTAATTGGTGTGGCAATATGGATCTTAGGCGTGTGTATATGGGCAAAGGCAGGGAATCGTGGCGAGATGCTGCGAGCAAAGTGAATTGTGTAGATCTGATTGTGTGTCCAGTTTGAACGTATGAGGTCGACCGAAGAAAATTCTTCTTGGATGTTTTGATGTCGATGTTTTTCTTCGTCGATGTTTGGCAGTCAACATCGACTGCCGTCACTTATATTAATATTAACTGATATAAACGAACGCGTTCGTTCTGTATCCGCTTTATTCGCTCAAGAGAGGGCGCTGTCACTCCACATGTAAAACCCCCACCACCAGGAGCTAATAATGACAATTTGTCATTATTAGCTCCTGCCACCACCAAAGCACATAATTATTATCACATAATAATATACGATATATGATATACGTGCTCTGCCCTCACACACATGCACTATACACGTATATATCATCATACGCGTATATATATATGCTGTCTATGGAGAAACCTATGTCTTCTATGTGCATGCGTAGCAAGCGCGTGTATGGGACGCAATGCGTGTATGTCTGTTAATAAAAATATCTTAAGATAATTGATAGATGTTTATAGTTTGAAAACACATACACGCGCGATTTTTTTTTACATAAGAAATGTCTATATCCTGATGTGCATTTCGTTACAACGTGCCTCGACTTTTCATAATTTCACGCGTACAATATACCGCAACGTTGAAGGGGAAGGGGGATCTATCACCAGTGAGTGCTACAGGTAAAAATATTCCATAACCCAATTAAATTAAAACCGCAATTCAAGGCTTTGCCGCGTCCAGATTGACTTCTATTTCCGTAATAATAAATCTGACAATTCTCAGTTACTATA